GAGCTGCTGTGCTGTAGCTTCAAATTTTCGGCATGTCTAGAACAATTCTTACAAGTACAACACGACGTAGCTGGGCGCCGCAGAAAGACGCCGAACGGTGCAGCCGGTGTGCCTACACTCATAGAAAATAATGTATTTGAATTTTAAAGACGTGGCGTGACGCTGCGCTTCTCGTCCGGTGTGCGACCGCCTGAAACGCTGTTTTTTTCACCTCCGTGCCCAAACGTCTTTCTTTGGGCTTCCGAAAGAGGATGATGTCAGGAAACAGTTGTTGCAATTTATTTTTTAACTCTGTCCCTGAGCATTATAACCCCAATTTGCTATTGTGTGCTGCGCATTTTACTGAGGACAGCTTCCACAACATGAGGGAGTACAGTGCCGGATTCGCCATTTGTTGAAAGACGGAGCAAGGATCGTTGCAGTACTGAAACACCATCTAAGCTGTTCGCCAATCACAACGCACTGGGACAGCTAACCAATCACAACACATTTTGTTTTTCGGAAGACAGACCTTCATCAAAGCCGGAACTAATCGAGCCGTTTGTGCCAGGCTGGGGAGAAAGGTATTTTAATAATGTAAATTAAGTGAAAAATAATGCGTTTTTCGAACCACCAAGCATGAGAGCATGTTCTAGTACACCCCCAAAACTAAATCAAGACTTCGTAAAAGAGCATAATAGGACCCCTTTAAAGTCAAAGTGATGTTAAGATGAAAACATGGCTAGTACTGTTTCTCCTACAGCTGTGATATAAACAGATATTGATGTAGATGATGAGTCATGGTTTAGATCTGATTTATTATATCTCAGCAAACCAACACCGGAAATACTGACGGACTACAACCGCAAGGTGGACTTCCTCAAGGGTCTCTTAGAGGCAGACAAACTGGTCAGTAATTATGCTATCTGGTCACCACTTGCTCAGTGACAGTAAAATGAGTCATCATTCTATGATTGTAACTAGAAACGCTTTGTTTGTGTCTAGCCGTCTCCAGCAGAGAAGTCTTTGGCCAATCAGTTTCTGGCTCCTGGACGGACGCCTACGATATCCAGCGAGAGAACGCCGGCCAGTAAGACGGTGCACATTCAGAGTAAAGCGCGATGTGCTGGAGAAATGAGGAAGGAGCTGATGAGTACCGTGCGACACTTTCCTCTTTCAGCTACTAATGTGCTTGCTTTTTTATGTTTTTGTGTTTTTCTTAGAATTGTATACCTTCGTAAATCAGAACATCCGTAAATATATATATATATATATATATATATATATATATACATATACTCAAGAAATATATATAAAAAATATATAAAATAAAAAATAATAATATTATAATTATTATATTATAAAACAATATTTCTGCAAAAGCATAAAATAATAATTATATATATATATATATATATATATATATATATATATATATATATATATACATATACTGGTTAAGAAAATTAACTTTTTCCATTTTTTACGTTGTAATATATACTTACTCTTTTATCTGTTCTTTTCTTAGCAGGCTGTGTCAAGTTCTGGTAAGCTGTATATTCTCTTTTCATTTAAATGCTACATTTTAAGAAATTCAGTTATAGATATTAAGCATGCCTTTTCTTTAGTGCTGTCAAACGATTAATCGCGATTAATCGCATCCAAATTAAACGTTTTTGTTTACATAATATGTGTGTGTACTGTGTATATTTATCATTTATATATAAATACACACACATGCATGTATATATTTCAGAAAAATATGTTGTGTTTGTATATTAAATATATAATATAAATGAGAAGAATATAAATATATACATGTAAATATTTTCAAAATATATACTGTATGTATGTATGTGTATTTATATATACAAAATAAATATACACAATACATACACGCATATATTATGTAAACAAAACCTTTTATTTTGGATGCGATTAATCGCGATTAATCATTTGACAGCACGACTCTTCTTTGTTCTTCATGGTTAGGTTCATTGGATACGGATCTCAGACACAGAAAGTAGGTGGCGCTCTCTCATTGATTTTCTGTGTGAACGTGTCACTGGAATCTACAGTATTCAGTTATTTCTGCTGGTTTTTCAGGAGTATTCCTGTAGACGAGCGGCAGTCGGCGGCAGAGCTGGACGCTATTCTACAGCATCATCACAACCTGCAGGAGAAACTAGCTGATGACATGCTGAATCTCGCTCGCAACCTGAAGAACAACACGCTCGCGGCCCAGAAGTTCATTGGATACGGATCTCAGACACAGAAAGTAGGTGGCGCTCTCTCATTGATTTTCTGTGTGAACGTGTCACTGGAATCTACAGTATTCAGTTATTTCTGCTGGTTTTTCAGGAGTATTCCTGTAGACGAGCGGCAGTCGGCGGCAGAGCTGGACGCTATTCTACAGCATCATCACAACCTGCAGGAGAAACTAGCTGATGACATGCTGAATCTCGCTCGCAACCTGAAGAACAACACGCTCGCGGCCCAGAACATCATCAAGCAGGACAACCAGGTCTGATGTTTTTCTGTCTACACGGCTGCAGTTAATCTGGTGTTTGTATAATAGTGCATATTTAGGACCATAATGCCCATCCTCTGAGTGCAAAAAAAGTGTCTACATCTTTTAATCAACAACCTATTTTATCATTCTCATTCTTGAATGACATTCAATTCTTGTTACTGTAATATATTTTATCTAGCAAAAAAATGGTCACCAATTATCTACTTAAAATGAATTATTGGCAGTGCAAAAGAATATAACTGTAACATTGTTGGTAGTAATAATTTTAAATTAAAAAACACATTACATATATGTTCTTATAGTAAGTATATAACTTAAACACTGATTTGTAGTCGTGTCCTCTTTTGGAAGACCAAACAAAGTAGTTTCGCTTTCACAATGAAAAACACAGCGGCCTAGCGTGAGCGGAAAAAAGTGCAAATCTTCCCACATAGTGATGTAGGTATGTGGGGGCGTGTTAGAACGAGCCGTTTTAGGTAGGTGTGGCTGACTCTTAACTTTTATAAAGAATATCTCTTTGGATTTGAGACTTTAGTCTTTGCAACTGTACAGATCTTCTTTATGCACCAAGAGCTTGTAACACTCCAAAGAGAAAGGAAAAATTTAAGTAGCATCATATGACCCCTTTAAACTTTGCTAAATAGCATTGTCAATAGGGCCCCACTGTAGTAAACAGGGTTCCTATACGGGGTCTGGAAAAGTATGGGGGGGGGGGGGGGGAAAGCAGAGTATGGAAAAATGTTTGTGTTTCCAGACTTTTGCCCTTATTTCGTTTTTTATAATAGAAAATTAAGAATTTAATGAAAAAAAATGATCGTACAAGAAGTGAGGTTTCATGGCAGCTGTTTAGTGATTCTTTAGTGATCGTCAAATATGACTGAATTAATTCAAGGTGCACTTTTTCATTATGCAAAATCCAGGTTATAAGCATTTTGGGTTTTTTCTCACTGTATTCTTAGCACCGTATTACATAACCTCAAGGACCTTTGCAAAAATAAAAAATATACTGACTTTTATGTGCGCAAAAGAAACCATTGCAATTAGCATAATTACCTATTGTGCCATCAGCCCATTTTGTGGTGTGGTTTCTTGGCCGCCACAGACTATGCGTTAAAGAGACTTGAAATATGGCATACGGCAATGAAAGCCAAACCTTAAACAGTTTTTTACAGTACCAGTCTTTTTTATAGACCCTTGAACTTGGCAAATTTTATGCCATCAGCCCATTTCGGGTAATGGTTTCTCGCCGCCACAGAAGGTGTGTTAAATTGGACTTTAGGCTTTGATATTAGAGGTACTACCATAAGAAAAGCTAAATTTTGAGCGGGTTGATCTCTGTTAATTCATGTGCATCCATGCTATTGTTTTATTCATAGTAAGATGGCAGTGATGCACAAAAGAAATAGGTTATATAAAACTAGAAATTGTAATGCGTAAGCATGCAAAACATTCCCACGCACATGTGAATAGTTTCTCGAGGGCACAAAAACGTTTTGTGTGCATGTTAAATTCTGTGCTTTTTATTTTTTTATTTTAGGGACTCTATGCTGTCACTTTGAGAAAATCAATGAAAAAACCCTGAGAAAATCTAAATATTTACAGATGACTGTACTATACACCAAATATGAACCATTTATGTTAAATATGGTCTGAAAATCGGTTAGAAAATTTGAGTCTGGAAGAGTATGGAATTTTGAAATGGAAAATATGTACGAACCCTGAGTAAATGAACTGTCTCTTGTAATGTTCAAGAACCTAACCTGAGATGTATTCACTTGGTGGGAATGACCCAACTGCACTTCATGAGGCAACATTACGTCTTTCACAAAATATTTTATGTTCGGAAAAAATGCTGATGTACGTGGAAATTTATGTACTTTGGAATAATGTTCTTTATGACCCCTGTCGCTGTTAGCTTAGCAGTCCCCTAATGCATCATAAATCATGGTTACTCTGACACCGGACTCCTGTGGACCCAAAGGCCTAATTTTCCAAACCAGGTCGACCCACCTTTGAAGTAAAGCGAGCAGATAAAGCAGCTGTGAGTTTTAATTTCGCGGTTCCTGACAGGGAAAGCTGTGATCTGGCTGGAAGGTGGCAGGTTAGCTGAAGCGACACCTCCGCCCGGCCGCGGGCCTCAGCTCGACCCCTGGGGAACCCAGCAGGTGCTGCAAAGTTCCTGGAAACCGCTCAAGTTCACCGAGATTAAGACACAATAAAACCGCCTTCTCAGGAGATCTTTAACGGTAAACTGGAAAAGCTTTTACTTGATTAACACAAGCAAAAAACCAGTGTCATTTCTGGTCACGACTGAGAACCTACCAAAACTGATGTTTGAATTCAGAAAGCAGCTTGTTGTATCTTCTCAAGGTCGATTCTAACGTCAAAGGTTTTGTTCCACGTGAAGAAATGAAGGTCAAATGTGTCCAACGAATGGAAGCAGACAAGTTTGTGCGCATATTTCACAACTCTACATGATTTTTGGCTCACTTACAAGTCATGTACTAAGTCAAGACATTTTATGTCGGGTTTATGTAAAGTTTTGAAGTCGGTGAATAAGTAAAGACAGTACTGTAGTGTACGGGGGGCGGAAGGCTTGTTTTAAACAAAGTTGTTGCAACATGCCCCAGCAGGAAGAGCAGTGTGGGAAACGCTCTTCTGCTTTGATCCTCGGCTGCTCCTCGCAGAAGGAGCTGGTATAATTACGCCGTTGGTCCTCCAGGATGGGTGGTATGGGGGATCTGCCCTCCTGTAAACACTAATGGTGAGCAGCACGCAGGAAGTTGTTCAGGAAGCTGTTTGGTTACCTGGTTTCTCAATCTTCCCTCCCTGGTGTTGTGGTAAATAACCTCGTCTTGTTTTGAGACTGAGGTGGCCAAGTGTAGTCATCTCATCAAGGTATATCTTGAGACCATTTTGTTTATGGTAATGTTTAGGTGAAATGATAGATAGATAAATAGATAGATAGACACCAGATATAGAAAACTGAAATGAGTTGCTAAAACCCACTGGCATGTGCTGCCAACATGTTTATATTTATATACACAGCTCCCCATGAATCAAGCCGCAAAAAAAAAACAGCAGCTGTGTTTCTATATTGGCAACAGCTGTTTGCTAATCTTTTAAAATCATCATGACTTCTAAATGTGTTCAAACATTTTTGCTATTCCCACGTAGACCGCAAACTGATCAGAGGTGGTTTTATAGGAATAGTTCACCCAAAAAAAATGAAAATTTGCTGACATTCACTCACCCTTAGGCCTTAAGATGTAGATGAGTTTGTTTCTTCATTAGAACAGATTTGGATAAATTTTGCATTACATCAATTGCTCACCAATGGATCCTCTGCAGTGAATGGGTGCCGTCAGAATGAGAGTCAAAACAGCTGCTAAAAACATCACAATAATCCACAAGTAATCCACACCACTCCAGTCCATCAGTTAATGTCTTGTGAAGCGAAAAGCTGAATTTTTGTAAGAAACAAATCCATCAAGATGCTTTTAACTTCAAACGTTGCTTCCAGCTAAAATGCCAGTCCTCTATCCATAATAGCCATCTCGTCTGAATCAGTAGAGAAATATGCGCAAGTTTACAAGTGAAAACAGTTCTAAACACAAATGTCATCGGATTTTGATGTAAGATGACAACAGGAGATGGAATTTTTCACTGGAGGAAGCAGTATTATGGTTTATGGACTTGTATTTTAGCCAGAGACAAGTTAAAAACATATTTATGGATTGTTTTTTACAAAAATGCAGCTTTTAATTTCCAGCTAAAATGCCAGTCCTCTATCCATAATAGCCATCTCGTCTGAATCAGTAGAGAAATATGCGCAAGTTTACAAGTGAAAACAGTCCAAAACAGTTCTAAACACAAATGTCATCGGATTTTGATGTAAGACGACAACAGGAGATGGAATTTGGAATACTTGTGGATTATTGTGATGTTTTTATCAGCTGTTTGGACTCTCATTCTGACGGCACCCATTCACTGCAGAGGATCCATTGGTGAGCAAGTGATGTAACGATAATGCACGATAATTAATGTAATGCTACATTTCTCCAAATCAGTTCTGATGAAGAAACAAACTCATCTACATCTTAGATGGCCTGAGGACGAGTTCATTTTTAGCAAATTCTCATTTTTGGGTGAAATATTCCTTTAAGGCGGTTCAACTAACCAAAGAATCTAAATAAAAAAAACTCTCTTGATACCAAACAACTAATATTGCTCTTTTATATGCACGATAATTATATTAGTATTCAAATATACTTTACTAGGAGTGTCTAATCAAACATTACTGTATCAAGTGGACATCAGATCCATTCATTCTTCTAATACAATGTCAATATCCCACCGGCAAAAATCTCTCATTATTGACAAAGGTGTGTTAGTGATGAAATGGCAAATCAATATTTGCTCCATCAATGTTTATTAATAGTCATTTGACATTTGCTTGTGTGTTTCCTTTGGTTAAATTATGGTTTAAATGTCCCTGCAGGTGTGGTCGTGTAAATCAGTAGTAGTTTTCCTTGTCATCTGTACTTATCTATCCCATACACACTAATTTATTTAAATGTATTTACATTTTGCACTGGAAATGACATGTGCGTTCAGCGTCTGACAGGTGTGTATGTGGCTGGGTTGATAAAGGGGGGGCGGCAGTAATCAGATCACAGAAATCATTTGCCAGTATATGAGCTCTTGTATAACAGATTAATCACAGCTTTAAAGCAAGCGAGATGTTCCGTTCCTGTGTGCTTTCACAGATTAAATTGTCCAATTACATTACAGTTGTGTTTAAAAAAGACGCCTTCGTGCAATGCTGACTTCAGTAGGGATCAATGGTAAATCATTGACTTCAATGCACACTTGTTATTAATAATCATCGTATGTAAAAACAATTCACATTTCAGTGAAATCACCATCATAAACCTTGCATTTCAAGCATCTCATCAAGCTATATATTAAGAAATGTAATATAA